TTTGATGCTTATATTAATATTAATAAATCAATCAATGATCGAGCAATTAAAATTCGATTTTTAGTTTATTCTTTGATTGAACAATGCAATTGATTAAGAAATTGATCACACGTGATCAATCAAATAAATCAATTTTTAATTGATCAAGTGAGTAAGAGATCGATAAAATCATCGATTATGATTTTTTTTATCAATTAAATGCCCTACCTTCACTGCCATCTATTGCCTACACCTTACTACTCACTCAATTAATTAAATACAAAACCCAAATAAATTAAAACATTAAAAAAAATATATATTAAAAAAAAATATTAAAAAAAAATTCTTACTCACAGTCGAAGTTGTTAAAGTTTACTTTCTTCAATTTAGTTTTAAAGAAAAAAGCTTTATAAAGGCAAAAAAAAGATTATCAATTTAAATTTAATAATCAATTTAGGATCTGAATTTGATAGATTTGATCTGAATCTAATCTAAATCTATGTGAAACACTATAATTTACACAAAAAAATAATAAAAATATAAAGAAATAAAATCTATTTAACCTATTTTTTTTATAATAACATTATTAACTTTAAATTATATTTTAATTTTTTGATTAATTTATCTAATAAATGTATTATTAAATTGGTAATTTGTTCTTTATAAAGTTAAGTAATATTATATAATTTTAATAGTAAAAATAAGCTAGTTTAAAATAATTTATGAATAATAATAATAATAATAATAATACTTGGTAATATATTATAGTATTAACTTATAAAACTTATTTTATATTAATTTTTAAATATTAATTTCTTTTATTATAATATTAAATAAAGATATCTTAATATACTGATATTTTTAAATAAAACAAATTATTATTATATTCAGCTTTAATTATAATACTAAAAAAATTTTTTTCGCTAATTATTAAATATAATGTAAATAAAATAATAAAAATAATAATAAAGAAATAAATATATTATAATAATATTTTCTTTCTTTATTTAAAACTAAAATTATTAATAACTAGTAATTTTTATAAGAACAAAAATAACTTATTTATAAATATTATCAAATATTTAATATATGATTTTAGAATTTAATCTGTAAATATATTTTAATAAAATTTTAATATTTATAATATATTTTTAATATTATATAAATATTTTTAAGTAATAAATATAATATGAAATTTGAAAAGATAAATGTATTTAAGAGAAAAAAGATTTTTAAGAAGATAAAATATTATATTTGATATTAAGTTTAATTATTATTTTTTTTACGTACTAAATTTTTTCTTCTTAAAGAAAAGGATTAAAGTTTTAATTAAAGCAAATAGTAAATATAAACTTTTTTTAAAAATTTTTAATATTTTGATAAATTTATATTTAGTAATAACTTTATTTTTTTAGCAGAAGTAGCAGAAAATATTAAACCAGCTTCTTTAAATTATAAATATATACATTTTTTAAAATTTTAAAATTTTGATAAATTTATACTTGCTAATATTTTATTTATCTTTAATAATATATTTTGATGAATTAATTATTTATTCACCTTTTATTTTATTTTATTTTATTTTAATTTTTTATTTTAATTTTTTTTATTTTTTATTTTTGCTTTTTTATTTTTTGCTATATTTTAAACATTTTTAAATTAGCTTTTTATTTTTTTTTTATATTTTAAAAAATGAGATTCTAAATACTTTAAATTCACATTTATTTTAAGTAGCAAAATTTAGCTTATATCAAATATCAGCTAAAAACTCAAATTTTATTTGGCTATTAAGGTACTGATATCTCTATTATGTAGTATGAATACTATTTATAATTAGTCTGAAATGAAGTAAAAGACTATATTTATTTACATAAAGTGTCTTAATAACTTTGCAATATTTTTTTAATTAAGATCATTCTGGACTTAATAACAGTTCCGTTCCCTAGTAATAGTAGCAAATAAGTACCAATTTTATAAATTACAACAAATCTATTAATTTTTTATTTTAATAAAACTTTTTAAATAATAATATAAATCAATTGCAAAAAATACTAATTTGTTAAAATTATATAATTTATTGTAAAACCTTATAATTTACAATATAATAAAATATAATTTTTTTTTTTATTTTTATGTTAAAAAATAATTCCTTATAAAATATAAGGAAATGTGATACAGAATTTCAAAAAATATAATATAATGAAAAAACGTATGCAAATTTTTTATCTAACATTTGTATTCCTGCAATTTGTTTTTATATTGGTGTTATATTAGATAAATCTAAAATGGATAGTTTTTTTATCAAATCACAATAATGTGAAAAATGGCGAAAGTGTCATTATGACCATTTTCATCTACTTAAAATGGAAAAACATCTGTCCAAATCCAGTATCGATGAAGGGAAAGAAAGTAGCATAATTAATATTAAAAGGTTGTAAATATTGAATATTTCTTTGCATTTGAACATTCTGAAATTTTTTATTTGCTATATCAATGGTTAACTTGCATAAGACCACATGATGTCATAGGATATAAAGATTGGAGATAATATATTTTATTTATTTATAATTTAAATACTAAAAATACATAATGGATTTATTCATAATTAAATGAAATTTGATATTTATCATGAGTTTTTTGATTTACGGCTGTAGCTAAAATTACCACGCCGCCAAAAGTTAAAGTAAATACTATGGTTACGTCTTCAGCATTTTCATTTTCGGGCAATTTCATCACCAATTCACTAAGTAAGGTCACACCAACATCATTGCAATATTTTACGTTCGTTTCTTTTGTAATGTATATTTTAAAACTTATCTCTCGTTGTAATAATGAAAAAGGTTGAAATTTTCTAATTATCTTGTCATTTATAGCTACTTTTTTATCACGTTTTGCAAGTGTTTCGAAGGCTACAACATATCCATTTGGCGAATACGGATCTGTTGGTTGCCATTTTCGTACTACATCAGTGCCTAACAAAAAAAAAAAAAGTAAACGGAAGTTGGAACCATCAAATATATTAAGTAAGCTTTATCAAAATACCATATGTTCGCGATAATTTACGAGTTGCCACTGTACTTTCATCAAGTCCGTATAAGACAGCTAATCATTAAAAGTCAAGAAGTCACGTATATTTTTAATAATATAAAAAAAAAAAAAAAAAAAATGCTAACCTCCTTTTAAGACTGATGCAATAGGAAGTGTTGGAATCGAAATGCTTGGAATTACTCCAAGAAACTCATTTTTAATCCTACTTTGTAAATATGGAGATTGGCTGAATCCTCCAACTAGGAACATAGCCGAACAATTTTTTTCAATTTGATTCAATTGTCCTCTAATCAAGTGAATAATTTTTTCTATAACTGGATCAAACATCTCTTTAATCTCTTCAAAACCAATTTCGATATACCATTTATTTTCTTCTAACTTTTTTCTTTTTTCTCCTACTATATATTGCTTGATGACACGTAAATCCTCCAAATCGAAACCGTAAGGTTCAAATACAGTTTCTTCTCCTGTAAATATAAACTTTGCAGCTCTAAATTCTTGTACCATATATTGTAATATACCATAATGATATTTTTTCATTTGATCAATTGCGTGTGTTCCTGTTATGTTACCAATAAAACTAAGGAATGCTTCATCTACGAAGCTTGATCCGCAAAAATCTCCTTCACGTACCGTTTCTTCTCCCAATTTGTTGTCTTCCAATAGTTCACGAGTTGTTATATCCACTGTGCCACCGCCGCAGTCAACAACCATAAACAAATCTACGAGCAATCAAATTACAATACATAAAAAAAAAAAAATTGTTTTATTAATAATTATAAAATTACTAACCTCCTGGCACTAAATTATGTTCTTCTTTTACTATCGAATTCAAACAATGGATTGCTGCGGCTTCGGCTATTTAATAAAAATAATTACTTTTTAACATAAATTTAATTTTAGGAGAAGAAATACAACAATAAACTTTTTACATACGTTCAGTCGTAAATTGGAGATTATTACTAAATTTCTCCTTCATCAAACCTGCATTAAAGGCGCATTCGCGTACTATTGAAATTTCATTATCAACAAATTCCGCCGGAACCTTTTATTTTATTTAAATAATAAATAAATAATTAGTCCTTCATTTGTTTTTTTTTTAAAGCATTGTGAAGTAAATCTTTACCGTAAGGATAATCGACACTTGACTGTGAAAGTTCAAATTTTGCCAATGTGTTTGCAAGGATTTTTTAGCGGATTTCCATAACTCTCTCATATAATCTGTTATGACTTTTCTATAATCCAAATGATCAGGTAAAGATAGGTTTCCTTTAAAAGATTTTGATAAATGTAACTTAAACAATTCAACAGGTTTTGTTGACGATGGCTTTTCTTTTTCTTTTCCTTTTGATTTTTCGGAGTTTATTTTATCTCTTTTTGATGGTTTTCGAGCCAATGCAGGATAACCCCACGAATCGACAGTAGTATAGGTTTCATCTGTATACTTTATAACGGTTGGGGTTTTAAGGCGACCTACATATCCTTCCCATTTGTCTTCAACACTCATTCCTGTAGGATTTTCAACGTGTGCATACGCGTATCCCTTTGTTTATTTAATTGATGAACTAATAATGTTAAATATTTCCTCGCTTAAAATTCATTGACCAAAATTCTTACCGAATAGGTCGTCCCAAAGTCTTTGGTAATAAACGTTGGCGAAAGAAAGTATTTTTTTTTGATTGATTAGTCGATTGAGTTAACGTTATCAAAGCTTTTAATATGGTTCCAAAACGTTACCGATGGCGAGAACAACTCGAATATCTTTCTCCACTTCCAACATACTTTATTTCGCAATTGCAACTTTAAGTTAGGTTTATTAATAAATAAATAAAGTAAATTCCTTATCTATGATATCAATTATAAATAAGGTTCAAAAGGATCAGAAATCCCGAACACAAAGAAATTCTGTAAATTAACGTCATATAGTCCATTTACAATCTTTAATGGTCTTTAAGATAGAGTCATATGTACATATTTGTTTATATGGCTTATCAAAAGTTGATTGTTTCCATTTTCCATTTCTTTAAAATTGATCTGCGCTTAAATATTCTCACAAATTGTTTTCAATGAAATTCAAAAGCGGAATGTGACAAGTTAGAAATAATGTGATTTAAAATCTTCTGTGAGATATTATTATATAAATACGATAAATGGTTGTTATAATCCATTAAGTAAACTGTAATGTCGTGGAAAAACGATATTCGCGTTGTGGTTGGCATAGGTAATAAATAAAATTTGTTATTTAAAAAAAAAAAAAATTGAGTACGTTTTTTGACATTGTGAAAATCAATTTTTTTTCTCTCCCAATTTATAGATTTCGGAACTACTTATTCGGTAATCATAATTATCAAAAGATGCGTTTGCGCTATATTCTAATTCGAATTGTTTTAATGGAACAAACATATATATATATTTTTTATTTTATCGACAGGGTTTTGCTTATAGTCATCTTTTAGATGAAAATGAAAATGTCCATATAAACGATCAATGGCATGGGATAATGGGGAAATTCAAAACTAACACGACACTTCAATATGACGATGAATTGAAAAACGTTGTATTATGGGGTAATCCAGCCTTATGTAAAAAGCCGAATAGGAAGAAGAATAATAATGAAAAGAAACCTGTGGAACTGTTTAAATTGCATTTAGGCAATTGTTTAAACAAACCGGAATTAACCGTACCTTACAAAAAGGCGATTACCGATTACCTTGATGAATTGGGAAAGGTAAATAAATAAATGATATGATAACGTTCCAAACTCGATTTTCCTATAATTAATGATTTTGAATTTTTATTTGTTACATCAATAAAGTTGATCGAAGAAACTGTTACGAAAAAATGGACCTCCATTGATTTCATGAAAAATGTTCTTTTGGTTGTTACCGTACCAGCCGAATATTCAGAAAATGATAAGCTTACGATGAGAGAATGTATATTTAACGCAGGATTGATTGAAAATTTATCTTCGGAAAAGTTACAATTTACAACTGAACGTAAGTTTGTTTAACTTTGTGAAGTTTCACCATGATGAAGTTGTTAATTGAGAGATTGATTTCTTTCTTTAGCTGAAGCCGCAGCAATCTATTGTATGAATAATTGTTTAATGGAACACAACCTTACAGCTCCAGGAAGTAAGTTTATACGAGTATCATCAATGATAATTACATTTTGATTATTTGATTATTAAATCAACGATGAAAATGTTATTCTAGCAATTTTCATGATTGCCGACTGTGGCGGTGGCACGGTGGATCTAACAACTCGTAAATTATTGGGAGAGAACCAATTGGGAGAAGTCACTGAGCGAGCAGGAGACTTTTGCGGAAGCACATTTATTGATAAAGAATTCGTTAATCTACTTAAAAGAGAAGTTGGAAGTTCAGCCGTAACATTGTTCGAAAAGAATCATTACGGTCAAATGCAATATTTGATTCAAGATTTTTGTCGACGGGCAAAGTTACTATTCTCTGATGATAATCCGGATTTCATTTATGAATTGGATCTTGAGGAACTGGCTCCTTCATTGAAACAATATGTTACTGGTAAAGAGAAGAACAGTTTGGAAAAAATTAATTGGTTTATTGAAATTGATTTTGAAAGCATGAAATCCATGTTTGATCCTATCGTTAACAGGATCGTCGAAATGATTGACACACAATTAAATAATTCATCAGGAAAGTGTTCGGCAATCTTCCTAGTTGGAGGTTTTAGCCAATCAAATTATTTACAAAAAGCAATCAAGGACAAATTTAGCCATAAGGTAGAAAATATCTCGGTTCCGACACAACCTATTGCGGCGGTTGTATATGGCGCAGCATTGTATGGAAGAAGTTTAAACGAAGTGGAAGACTTGACGGATCTGAGTAATTCAAAACGTATCATCGTGACTCGCGTATTGAATCGTACGTTCGGAGTCTTGGTATCTCCTAAATGGAATCTCGGAGATCCTCCAGAGCGAATTACCATTGGTGGAAGGATTGATAAATTTTGCCTTCTCGCGAAACGTGGGACTGAAGTTACAATTAATGAAAAGTTCACGGAAACAATGGTTCCTGTTTTTTCATTTCAAACGAATATTTGTTTTGAAATTTACTACACAACAAAAAGTGAAGCCGTTTATTGTGATGAGCCTGGCATGAAATTGCTTGGGAAATTGCTTATTGAACTTCCCGACGTAGAATTAGGAACATATAGACCCGTTACGTTTAACTTATCATTTGGTGCAATAGAAGTTAAAGCTAGTGCTTACAACAAAACAAATGGTCAAAATTACGAATCCGTATTCCAATTAAATGAAAGATTTTCTGATCCTCTCGATGATAACGAATAGTCATTTTTTAAAACAATATCACGTTTGATTTATTTTTATTCATTATATTGTATATTATAAATTTTTTTTTTTTGTTTTTTTGAAAAAAGATATATAAAAATAATTTATTTTTATTATTTAAATAAAGAAACATTTAATAAAATTTCTTTTAAACATCTTCATTATTGCATTCCAAACATTTTTAAAGTTTTCGTCATCATAGATTTGTTTCTTGTAAATACCTGAGCATGAGTATAAATTACACGTTTCTCCAAATTATTCAAATCTCGACCAATCATCGGAAAAGTACAAACTTCCACTTCTAGATGCTCAATATCTTCGCTGTCCCAGATTCCCTCCATAACGTTTGGATCTATGTCGGAACCCACGGGTACCCATTCAATTTGAGCAACAGGCTCTTGAATTTGTAACCGAAACCAAATTAATCTAATAACTTCTCGGATGAGTTTCGGCGCCAAATTCTCGATGGTTTTTTTCTTTGCCGGATCTTTAATTATACGATACTTATTCATTTCTTCATTTAAAATATCTTTATAATCACTAATGAAATCGTGCTCTCGCGGAACGTCATTCCCAATTAAAACGTCCGAAAATCCTCGATTACTAAGAGCGATATTAACTTCTTGTCGTATTTTTATTGAGGTTGTTTGGGTTACCGAGTCTTTTTCATTTCGAGTTTTAGAGAATTCAACTAATCTTTCTTCCAACGTTTTTGCCTTGGACATGATATCTGCTTCAAGATGTAATGCCGATGAAGAATTGCTAAAATTCTTAAAAAAGATTTTCACATTCTCCATTATTTTCATTAAAGTATGGAACTGCAATACCGCTTTAATTAACGAATAATCGATTTGTTTTGTGGGTTTGATATTATGCTCTCTCAAAAGCTTGTTAATCTCGCAAGTATCGATTTCTATTTTACCTTTTAATGATGTGACGTAAGTTTTCAACATGTCCCGTAATGATAAAATATCATTTACAAGTTGAACCGAGTGGTTTTTATCATCATCATTCATCCGAAAAGTTGTCACATTACCAAGTGCGGCTTGATATTTAGACGCTTCCGTTTTAAGTTTACTATTTTTCTCTAAAAGTTCTCTCTTTTCTTTTTCTTTGTTGTCCAATACATTCTTAAGATCTTTTATCTCCTTGTTAGTTTCATCAAATTTTTGCTGAAGTTCATGAATTTTGGAATCTTTTTGCGACAACTTATTCAATACGTCTTCATATTTCACTTCATTTTGAATTACAAATCTTTCTAAATCTAGTTTATGATTTTCGGTAATTTTTCTGATCGTTACTTCGAGCAAAGATTTTTCCTTATGCAACTCTTCGAGTTGTTCTTTGGATTGTTCACATTTTTTGGAAATATTTTCAAACTTTTCTTGAAGTTTAGATTTTCCATTGGAACATTCCTCATGTTCGCTACGAAGTTTTGTCAAAGTATCTTCGGATTGTCTATGTTTTTCGGAAATTCCTGCGAGCGTTTCTTTGAGGTAAGATTTTTCTTTACGCAACTCTTCGAGTCCTAATTTGGATCGTTCATATGTTTCGGAAATTTCTGCGAGCGTTTCTTCGAGTTTAGATTTTTCTTTACGCAACTCTTCGAGTCCTAATTTGGATCGTTCGTATGTTTCGGAAATTTCTTTGAGTTTTTCTTTGAGCGCAGAATTTTCATTGGAACATTCATCAAGTTCGCTACGAAGTCTTGTTTCGGATTGTCTATGTTTTTCGGAAATTTCTCTGACCGTTTTTTCGTGCAAAGATTTTTCTTTACGCAACTCTTCGAGTTCTTCTTTGGATTGTTCACATTTTTTGGAAAGTTTTTCGAACTTTTCTTGAAGTTCGGATTTTCCATTGGAACATTCCTCAAGTTTGCTACGAAGTTTTGTCAAAGTATCTTCGGATTGTCTATGTTTTTCGGAAATTCCTGCGAGCGTTTCTTCGAGGTTAGATTTTTCTTTACGCAACTCTTCGAGTCCTAATTTGGATCGTTCGTATGTTTCGGAAATTTCTTTGAGCGCAGAATTTTCATTGGAACATTCCTCAAGTTCGCGAAGCCTTGTTTCGGATTGTCTAAGTTTTTCGGAAATTTCTCTGACCGTTTTTTCGTGCAAAGATTTTTCTTTACGCAATTCTTCGAGTCCTACTTTGTATTGTTCATATTTTTCGGAATTTTCTCTGAACTTCTCTTCGAGTTTAGAATTTTCTTGTTGCAGCATTGAATTCTTTTTGAAATATTCATTACGAAGTCTTGTCAAATTATCTTCGGATTGTTTATATTTTTTGGAATTTTCCCTGAGCTTAGCTTGGAGTTTAAAATTTTCTTTTTGCAGCGAAATTTTTTTATTTGACAAACTACTTTTGAATTTTTGAAGTTTAGAACTTTCTTTTTGTAGGATTGAATTATTTTTTTCAAGTTCAGAAATTTCATTTTGTATCTTTGAACTCTTTTTGGAATCATTGTTATATTTTTCACAAAGTTGTTGATATTGTTTGGAAATTTCTTCGAGCTTTTTTTCAAGGTTATAATTCTCTATTTGCAGCAGCAAATTCTTAGTGGATTCCGTGTTTTGTGTACGAAATGGTTTGAAAATTTTATTTAATAAAGAATTTTTTTTAGGAATTTCTTCAAGTTTGCTCTCAACAAGTTTTTCAAGTTGTTTAAATTTTTGTTCCAGTTCATAATTTTTAGTATGAATCTCAAGATAATTCTTAAGATATTGGTCACGCTCACTTTTTAGTTCATTCTGTTCATCGATTCTATCTTTTGAATTACTACCAAGGGAATCTTCAAACATATTTGTTCGAGTTACATTCAAACTTCGTAATCGGTGTAATTTTTTCTTTTGGGGAAGTTTCAAGATTTTCCGCCAACATAAAAAAAAATTAAAATAAAATAAAATAATAAAAAGTGTGATATACAAGTGATAAAGCAAAAATTTTTATCACCTCTCACGGATTTTTGTAATACACTATAAAGCATATCCGAAATTGTGAATCAATAGTACCCATAATCCGATAATAAAACCACGTCCCAACCTTTTCTAAATCATTGACGCACCTCAAACCGTTAGGCGTAAGGACGATATGCGTACAAATTTCTATTGGACAATTAGTATTACTGAAATTCAAACGATGAATTTTCGAACATGATATTTTTTTTAAAAGTTCCGAGTTCTCATCGGAAGATTCGTCAAGTTCGTCACGAAGTCTTTACCAAATTTTTCTTTGGATGGTTTATATTTTTTGGAAATTTCTTCGAGTTTAGAGAGGTGTACGAGATGGGTCTTGAGACAGCAATGAATTTTCAATTGTTTAACTTCTCAGAAATTTTTATTTTTTTTTCGGAAATCTTTGATACTTTAGTTTTGATAGATTAAATTTATCGACAAAGTAACCTTTGGTAAATCGTCTTGCGTCATCATAACGCAGAAATAACGGTTATTAACTGCAGACACAGAGTGAAGTGTGAAGAATGTCACAGGTTAATATTTAGAACAACTGTGATACAGAGGAGATTCTTCTGAAAAGTAAGAATTACAGTATAAGCTAATAAATTTGGTATGACGATCATAAAAGATATTTGAGCAACTTCAAAATCTTTGAAGAGCTTTTATGATAAAAGTCCAAGGAAATTGAAACTTTACAAATGTTCTAAAACAATGTCTTGTCTTAGATGAAAAAGAGAATTCGAAAAACAAATTGAAGAAAAATTTAATTTTCACTAAAAGAATTCAAACAAAACAAGATGAAAAATTTTGAGTTATTCATAGATACGAAGAAAATAACCTTGAAAATTTGAAGCAAAAGTATACCAGTTTATTCTAAATAAAATTCCTTTTAAGATAAAAAAAAAAAAGAATTAGAAAAACAACTTGGGGAACAAGTAAAGAGCTTCAAGAAATGAACATTTTAAGGCAAAAAGAAGAATTTGAAAGCATAATAAAAAATTAAATGTCTTTGAGAAACTAATACCTTTATTTCTGATATTTATATCGTGGTTGATTAAACTTTGGAATAACCTACTCTGGAGTTATGTTGCTAATAAAGTTATTTTCTACAAATGATAAGAAGCGGGACAAATAAGAACCAACAAAATTCTTCAATATAATATAAATATAATAAAGTATTGTCAGTTTAGCTAAAGCTAAATCGTCAAGAAAAGAATTATAAGACTATTTAAAACCTAAATTTCCAGTTAAGCAATCACAGAAAGAGATAGGGAATATGGATAAATCAAATTTCAGGATCTTTTTTCTTTTTGGATTTTTTTTTTAATAGTTAATAAATAAATGCACATTATGTTGAACTTTACGAGAAAATCTCAGAAGTCATGTCATAAATATATTAATAGAAGATCATGTGATAAATATCGTCGAAAGAATGAACTTAATAGACAAAAAGATCGATTTATCAAAGGAACCTTAATAGTGTTCATCTTTTTATTAAATTCTATAATTTTTTTTTTTATTAATAAATTTAAAGATTATAAATAATATACATTATTTAATAATAAAAATAATAAAAGTATTTATTATAAGCAACAAAAAAAAAGTCTAAATCTCTCATTTTGATTTAGTTCAAATATTCTTTATATATGATGACTTTTTAGATTTTGGAAAGATTCTAGCGGATGTATAAACATATTTTGACTTATCATCGAATTCTTGTGATATTGTTAGAAAGTAACAAATATCTACAACCAAATCATCAATTTCATCATCCTACTTTCCTTCCATATAACTAGGATCTATTTTAGCATCAGGATTAATCTAAACAAATTCAGCAACTAGTTCCTGAGTTTTAGTTCTAAACCAAAATAAACTGATTACTTTTTGAATAATGCCAGCAGCCATTTCTTCAATTTCTTATTTCTTTTTAGGATCTTTAATTATATGATATTTTCCAATTTCTAAATTTAAAGTAGATTGATTATACTCAATAAATTTGTGAATTATAGTTTTATTACTATTGGTAATCATATTATTAAATCCTCTGTTATCAAGAGTTTCAAAAATTTGTTGACATAATTTAATAGATATTTGAGTTGCATCATCAGCTCCAATACGTTTTTGTATGAAATTTTCTATTAAATTTATCAATTTATTAGCTTTTGCGAATAAGGTAGTCTCGATACTATACAATTTTCCTTGGTGAAAGTTTTGATTATCAAAATATTTTTGCGTATATACAATAATTCTTTCAATGACATAACGTTATAATACTGCTTTAATTAAGGATTTTTGTCCTTTCATAATAACCATTTAACTTCCATATTTTATCAAAGGTTTTGCATTCCTTCAATATTAATTTCTACATTACGCTTACAATTAGTGATGGTAAGTGACCTAAGATGACCTAAATGACTTCGATAACTGGTCACTAATCATTGAGTCATTTTAAAAACTAAATATCCTGTGATTTAAGTCATTTAATAATAATATAATAAAAAAAAAAAATCAATAGTAAATTTATTTGTTATAGCAATTTTATTATGAGTATTGACTTTATTATTTATATTTTATATCAAAATTATTTAATAATTTGTTAAAGAACTAAGATAAATTAGAGCTTCTAACGAATCATTGAATAGATTCAATAAATTCCATTTTGCTAATGGATCATCTGCTGGATAAGTAATATGACCACCCAATTCAAACTCAAGTGATTCTTCATTAATATCTTCACCACTATTTAAATGATTTTTAACATCCAACATTTTAATCCAATTTTCTACTATTTATAACCAATTATCTATATTAAAAATCTCATTGATGTTATTATTATTATCATCTCTTTCAATGAACATTGATGTATTCCTTTCTTTATCTTCATTATTACTTATATTAATTGAAAAAGAATCTTATTCTTCTTCATCATTATGTGGTTGTATTGGAGTAGCAATATGAACTCATTTACATTATTGTTCAAATCGTTCAATTTCTTCTCTTTTTCGTTTCTTTAATATATCACTTCGCAATTGACTCATTGCCAGTACTTTTTCATGCTTAAAAATATAAATAATTAAAAATTAAAACATATTAAAATAAAAAAATAATATATAATTCAATATAATAAATATTAATACTTATATTAAGGCGATTTTGACATTTAGTATGTAAAAATCTAATACTTGACTAAAGGCGTTCAACTGAAGCTGAATTAACACATATGCTAAATAAATGTAAAGCCAATCGAGAAAGTTCTGGTGTTAAACCTTTTGCTGATTCTCAAAAATCAATAATATTTTCATTAAATTGATTATATGTATTATAATCAAAAGGAAATATTTCTCTTAGATAAGATAAATATTTACGCAAAATACTTTTTAGTAATTCATTAAACCATGCTTGATAATAATAACCTAACCATTACCTAAAATGTGTATAAGAAAAATTTAAAATATTAGAAGAAAATTTTGAAAGCTGATATTTTAGATGTAAAACAAATGATAATAAAAGAAGTGGTTGTTCCCATTGAGCTCATCGAGTTTTTAATCATACTATCATTTGATTAAAAAAGATTCATTATTATAATTTACAAAAATATTAATAATCCAACCAAAACAATAAACAATTTCATGTAAACGTGCAATATCCTTTTGTAATTTGTTTAATATTCCACATAATGGTAATAATAAATTTTGTAATTTATAAAGTTGTGACCAAAAATCAGGATCATTTACTATTGCTATAATATCTGGTGGAAGTACTTTATTATTATTTCCTAATAAAGAACGTTGTCGCAAGAGTCCACTTCTTGAAATACTAGCTGATCTAACTTTTTCTGAAGAAAACTTTGTAACTAATGTTTAAGTTAAATAAAATAAAACAAATTAGATTTAAATAATTTTTTTAAACTTTAAATTTAAAAAATAATAATTACTTTAAGTGTAGCTTCCATTTTTAATACAGAATTAAAACAAAAATAAAAATTATTTCAATGAGTTTCACCTGAAGTAATAAGAGAAATAGTTTAGTTGTAACATGATTTCTGCTCCTTTCTTAACATACCAGTAAAATATGATGATGAATAAAAATAGCTGACAATGTGTACAGCATTTTTTAATGTTATTTTATAAGATTTGGATTCTTTAAAAATATCTCTAACAATTAGATTCATTTGGTGAGCCATACAGGGTATAAAAATTTTATTAGGATATTCTACCCTTAGTTATTGTCTATTAAATTATAATTATAATTATAATTAATATTCAATTATTTTAAATTAAATAAATATATTAATATATGATACTTACCTTACAGCAGCATATTCACTAGCAGAATCTGATACATAACAATTAATTTGAATGCCTTTTTGTTCAGCATTATCTATTATATTTTGAATAAGAAGTTTTACATCTTCAGTTCTTAATCATTGATCACTAATATCATGTGCTTTCTAAATTAAAGTTTCACTTTGAAAAGTAATAAAAATAACTCTAAAAAGGTGCTCCTGTTTAATGTTAGTCCAACCATCAAAAGCTGCTGTTATCCCAATTTTATCATTAGATGTAACTTGTAAAATTGACTTTATTAATTTATTTAGAGAATGTGGAAGTATTCTATCACATATTGCTCGCTGTCCAGAAAATTTTAATGCAGGTGCAATAAAATTGAAAACATCTTGTGTTTCCTTATTCTCCATAAATGTAAAAGGAAGGTTATTTGAAACTATCATAAGTAATACCAAATTTTCAAAATGTTGGTTATCTTGTGTTAATAATGGATGTGATACATAATTGGTAAGAGTCATTTGTTTAATGGCAGTTGTAAAAGGATTGGTATTTGTAGTTTTAGGAGTAGTAATAGAATTATCATCAATTTTGGAATCAAAAGTTTCTTTAATAATATCTTTTTGTTGAGAAGGTTTTTTTTCATCCTCTGGTATATAGCGTGAAAGAATTTTTTTTCTTTCATCATCATTATACTCCTTCTCAAAATTTGAACATTTTTTTAAGTGTGCTTGACACAATTTTGCTTTGTTAGAAACAAAACAATTAGGTTTTGTAATTGCAACAGGTAATGTATACTTTCGTATACATGAAAAACAAACAGCCTTTTTGTTCACTTTTGGATTATCTGATGTAGTTAAAAAAAAAAACTCTCGAAAATTATGTTCTTTACCCATTTATTCACTTAAAATAAACCTAGTCCAAAAAAAATTTAGCTCAAAAGTAAAGCTCAAAGAAAAAGATCAGATTTCCGATAAAAAAATTTTTTTTTATTTGTTAATAAAATATGTAGATTATATTGTAATTATCTGGATGTCAGATTGTAACAACCGTGATCATAATTTCCAAAGTAAAATTGTATCACGCAGTTAATTTCAGCTAAAATTATAATCCAAAATGACCAAATGATCTCAAATTATTTCAAATGATCAAATGACCTAGGTCATTGAGTCATGAGTCATTTGAAATGATCCAAATTCTAAAGACATGAAATGATCAGTCATTTCAGCGTAACTTAGGTCATTTGAAAATTAGTCAAATAACCTGATCATTTGCCATCACTGCTTACAATTGATATAATCTTCTAAAGAATCTTGTAAATTTAAAATACCATTTTTAAGTGTAACTGAATTATATTCATAATCTGATAATCGTAAATTAATCGCAGTCCCAAGAGCAGTTTGATATTTTGAAGCTTCACCTATTAATTTGATATTTTTTTGTTCTAGATCTTTAATTTCCTTATTTTTTTCTTTTAAATATTTTTCTAATAATTTAATTATTTCAACGTTATTTTGAAGTATTTGATTTAAATTACCAAGTTGTTTTTTGAATACTTCTTTTTTAACATTATTTTCCTTATTTGTTTTTGAAGATTGCTGAGTTCTTTTTGTTTTGAATTACAATACACATTTAGTTCATTTCGTTCATTAAGTTTCTTTTCAAATAATTCATGAAAATTTTGAATCTGTTCATTTTGTTGTTTCAATAAGTTATCTTTTTTAGCCAAGGCTTTAATAGCAGATTGATACTTCAAGGCTTTATCTTTTGATTCAATATGTTCTTGATTTAAATGATTAATATAGTTATTATGTTCTTTTAAATTTTCTTCAAATGATTTAGTTAATTTAATGTTATCTTAAAACTTTACATTTAAATTAATTTGTTCATTAAGAATATCTTGCAAAGTTTCATTTTCCTTAGATTTTTTATTAAAAAACGCTTCAAGTTTTTGATACTTTTCTTCAAAAAGCTTTAAATCTAGAATGAGTTGTTTAATACACTTTAATCGAGAGTGTAATTGTTATTGAATATCTGAATTAATCAAGTTATTATTTTCATTTATATTTTTATTGTTCTTAAAACTATCTAAATGAGAAATACAGATAGTTTTATCAGAAATTAATTGATTATTATCGTTATAGCAATTAGTTTCTTCAGATACCATTTTTTTAAAAAAAATATATAAAATAAATTACGTTCAAATATAAACACAGAATATGATATTACTGTTTAGTATTTATTTTAAAATTATTTTTAAAAAAAAAATACAAATCTTTTTAATTTTTGAAGTTATTAGATTAAAATGTAATTAAGTTTTTAAATTTGGTTAAAAAAGTTCTCAGAACCTGATTATTCTAATCTTTCTATATTATTTATCTATATATTTAAAACGTTAACAGTCATGAGGTGTTACGTTAGATTACTCTATATAAATTAATCAAATAAATGTGAAACATTACATAATTCCAAAAAGGTAATTTTGTTTTCAGTAAAATGTCTCATAATTGTTTATATAAGATTTCATCTTGGAGGAACAGTAACTTGTTATATAAAATTTCCAAATCTAGTAAGATAATGATGTATCGATCAACCAATCAGAATTGTAATTTTTATAATGAAATCCTGTGATTTAGAAAGCCATAATATTAAAATTTTTAATTAATCAAGAAATTAAAAAGATATTTATTTAATTAACTATTTGAAATGTGATTATAATAATATAATAATAAAATACTAAAATGTGATTTCAAAATATATAAATATATAAAAATTTTACAAATTTATAAATAATTCTTTTGCATGTTCTAACAAATTTTTAACTTTTATATCATCTTTTGCCTCATCTATATTATTCAAATCTCCTTTAATTATATCTTTTTCAGTATCTTCTTTAACAAATTCTTATTCATCTAATTTCTTTGTAAAATTGGTTATTAGAGCATTGATATATTTTTCTTGATCTCATCTTGAAGATA